GCCGGAGTCCCAATACTTTTGGCAATATAGTGTACATAAAAGTGGACATGTCACTAGATTTATTTTTTCATGTTAAAGAACATCTCGGGGTATGTAAGAAATGAACCTTTGCAGTGGGGCTAAGATGTTATGACATTTTTTATTGGACTATTCATGTTTATGTTGTTATTCTTGGCTGGAGGTTTGCTTTAATGAAAGCTGACTTTAAAATGACAACATTGACTTTTGATATTGCAGTATTATGTTTAAAGTAGTAATAGACTCTCAAACATTTTTACAATACTGAATCCAAATCAAACAAATATTAATTGCCCAGCAAAGTATTTCTTTATTTTCTTACCCAAGCACTTACAGTCATCATGTTTCTGAACAGCTCCACCTCTCTCAGCTTGGCTTCTTTGAACTTCCTGTCCAGTACAAGATCACAAGGGACAGAGCAGTCTTCAGCAGCTGTCCATCTACTAGCTTGAGGAGGGAGAATGAAGGGAGTAGCTTACCTTGCTGTAACTGCAAGTTTGTGGAGACAGAAACAGGGTACTAGCACAGATAAGAGTGGCTCCATAGTGACCTGCAAGGGAAAGGAGCCATCCTATAGCAGGATATCGGGGTCAGTGCTCATTGCCAACATCAACTACATGATCGACTCCAACCTTGACTTCATAATTTACTGCATCTTTGACTCCATCATTGACTCTATCATTGATCCCATTATTGATTCCTTAACTTCATCATCTATTCCTTCTTTGACTCCATCATTGATACCACCATCAATTACATCATCGACTCCATCCTTGACTTCATCATCTACTCCATCGACTTCATCATCGACTCCATCCTTGACTTCATCATCTATTCTATCTTTGACTTCATCATTGATGCCATCGTCGATGGCATCATCGACTCCATTCTTGACTTCGTCATATGCTCCATCATTGATTCCATCCTTGACTTCATCATCTACTCCAACTTTGACTCCTTTATTGATGCCACCATCAATTACATCATCGACTTCATCCTTGACTTCATCATCTGCTCCAACTTTGACTCCATCATTAATGCCATCATCAACTACATCATCGACCCCATCCTTGACTTCATCTACTCCATCATTCACTCTATCGTTGATTCCATCATCATCTCCATCCTTAACTCCATCATCTACTTCACCATTGACTCCATCCTTGACTTCATCATCTACTCCATCATTGATTCCATCATCGACTGCTTCCTTGATGCCATAATCTTCTCAATGTATAGCTTGAAGAAAGGTGGAGGGACAAGGGAGGAAGGAGAAGCAGGGGAGTAGCTTACCTTGCTATGCCTGTGTTTGTGAAGACACACACAGCTTACTAGCAGACACAAGGGTGGCTCCATAGGTCACTGCAAGGGGAAGGAGTCACCGTAAAACAGGATATCGGGGCCAGCGCTCAGGGGACCAACTGATTCTGCATGACGCTAAAACGTTTAACATCAAGGAGCAGCGTCCAATTCTAAGTAATTTCATCAGCATTTGAAGAAAACTTTTGACTTTAATATCACTTTAAGCCAGGGATGTCCAAACTCCGGCCCTCCAGCTGTGGTGAAACTACAAATCCCATGAAGCATCTCTCTCCGGGAGTCATGTCTGTGGCAGTGAGAATCTTGCAAAGCCTCATGGAATTCGTAGTTCCACCACAGCTGGAGGGCCGCCGTTTGGACATCGCTGCTTTAAGCCTATATGAAATGAGAGTGGTTGGGTTTACATATCAGTGTGAATCTCCATTTTTCCGCTGACTTTTCTGAGCCTTACGATATGTTAATGTCTGAGTAACAAGGCTGTGAAATTAAACGGGCAATTCTTCAAACAATAAACAGAGGGGGACGAGAATGAATTGAAACAATGAGGGGATGCGGCTGGTGATCCAGTGTTTACATTAGAGCTAATATGGAATGTAGTGGGAATTCGGCTCTGCACACATTAGGTACCTCCATATTATTCCTAATTACACCAAAGAAAATAAACAAATTTGAATGCGCTCGATGATTGAACACAGCACAGCCGTTTCCACACAAACATACTTTTCCTTCAACGAAACGCAAGATGAAAAGGATTGAAAATCCAGTTACAGATGCTTTAATGGCCCATAGAGCGCAATTATTCTTATTTTGGTTTGGAAGTTGTAATTTCATACTCTGCATGTTCAGCTTGGAATTAATTACATTAATTGCTGAATAGATTGTTTCTCTTAAAGAGAAGATGTAACATATTCGCTGAGAACCAGGGGAAGTCTTTTTTTAAAGAGACCCTGTCATCAACTTAAAAAAAGCAGGTAAAAGCACAGAAAAATCAAGTATTTTCAATGCTTATTTGCAGCATTTTCCTTTCCATAAATTTTATTTTATTCACTTGCAGCATGTCTTTGAACTTGCTAGGTTTGGAAGTCTAGGATGAGTCAAATTCCTAGCATAGCCCCCTTCTTTCCCTACACGCCACAGCCCTCTTATCTTACGGGAGTGTTTAATGATTGTCCGTGCTAGCCCAGCTCCTCCAAACCTCACCTCCCTACATAACCTTTTCTGTAGCAGTCGAGGGAGGAGCGATGGGGAATACTGTGTGTATGCCAGGCTGCTGATATCACATCCCACATGGCAGTGCTCAGCAGCAGTCTCAAGGCTTTTGGATGTCCACACAAGATAGGCTTTTACAGGTAAATAACCTGAATACATGAAATTCCACATATAATCTTACAGGAAGATATTTGTTGATGGTCAGATGACAGGGTATCTTTAAAGAGGAAGTCAGGCTTGGGATCCCACCCCCATTAAACAATATCTCTTACCCTTTCTCGCTAATTGCCAAAATAGTCACTGAATCCATGGTCATGCGGCATGCCAAGTCTTCTGGATTGCAGAGTGGGAGGATAGTGATGGAGTAAATGAACTCCATCACTGATTCCAGCATTGACTCCATCCTTGACTTTATCATTGACTCCATCTTGACTCTTTTATTGATGCCATTATTGAATCCATTATTGACTGGCATTGAAGCCATTATTGACTCCATCATTAACTCTGTCTGGCATTGATTCCATCATTGACTCCATCCTTGGCCCTATCTTTGATGCCATTATTGACTTCATTTTTGACTCTGGCATTGACTCTATCATTGACTCCATCCTTAACTCTATCATTGATGCCATCATTGACTTCATCATCGACTCCATCCTTGAATCTATCATTGATCCCATTATTGACTCAATTATTGACTCTGGCATTGGTGCCATCATTGTCTTCATCCTTGACTGTATCATTGATGCCATTATTGACTCCATCCTTGATTCGATCATTGACTCTATCATTGACTCCATCCTTGACTGTATCATTGATGCCATTATTGACTCCATCCTTGATTCGATCATTGACTCCATCCTTAACTCTGTCATTGATGTCATCATTGATTCTATCCTTAAAGTGACATTAAACCCTCAGATTTTTTAACATAAACCAATACTGTAATGTGCGCCTTACTGTAATCCATGGTTGTTTCCATTCTCTTTGCTGCTCTTCCTTTTAAATCCTCATGTCTTCTCATGCTTGGAGAGAACTTCCCTTTTCAGCTCAGGGCCTCTTCCTGTAGTGCTGGCTCAGGTTACAAGCCTATAGAAACTAATACACAGACACCGTGTATCCATTCCTGAGACAAGGCAGTCTGCTGCAAAACAGAAGTTCTGCCCAGCATGAGAACAGATACAGATTTAAAAGGAAGAGCAGCAAAGAGAAGGGGAACTACCATGGATTACAGTAAGGCGCACATTACAGTATTGGTTTATGTTAAAAAATCTGAGGGTTTAATGTCACTTTAACTCTGTCATTGATGTCATCATTGACTCTTATCCTTGATTCGATCATTGACTCTATCATTGACTCCATCAATGACTCCATCACTATCCTTGCTGGTTTTTCCATTATATGTCTTATCTCTTGTGCACAGTTGCTCCTCAGTTCTGCCACCTCACTTCCTCTCACCCCTTTCTTTTCACTTGACAACGTATTTGCTACTTTGTGTTTTAACTGGAACTTAATGCGTGGCACAGTAAAGCCTTCTTAGAACAGAAGGTATTCACATGTCTCATTCCATCACATATCCTAAAAATAAGATGATTATTCCTCTGTTTATAACAGCGGGTGGAGCCCCTGTGGCTAGCATGCCTCCGGTACACATCCAGAATGGCCGTGTCATGCAAATATAGCGTAATTGTATAGACCTATTTTTTCAAAACTGTCTTCAACTGAAGGATCTGGTCTCTGGTCTCTGGCGTTGGGTTCTGAAGCTGGAGGAGCTGAGCCAGCCAGTAGGACAATAGAGCATAAGGAGAACCTTATGTGATGATGCTCATAGGCCATTGAGGAGGCCGATGTAGTGGCTGCATTCGTTTTTTTTTTTTTCACTGGTGACCCTGCCAGTAAAACACTTCCTGGGGTGAAAACACTCACTTGCTGTAATGTATATATGGAGGAGCTGTGTTGTCACCCTAGGAGAGCACCACAGACCACCTCCTCTTTCCTTATCTCTATAACATAAAGGGGAGGTGTTCCGTAGTCCACAGAGAGAGAGGAAGCTGAGAATATAGTTCAGCGCATTCAGGGAGCACTAGAAGTCATCGGCTCAATAGATTTCTGACAGGATTAACAGTCTTTTTGGTTTTTTTTGCACATATCAAGCTGATAACAGACCACAAGAGACCCAATACAAGAAGTTCAGTGTTCAGGTTTACATACAAATTGAAGTTGGGGAATAACATTATAGGTTTCAGGGTGACTGGTGGCATCACATCCATCCTGTGATAGGTGGCGGGGATGTGTGAATCACAAGAATGGCTGAACAGAATAACAGATCTTTTGGCAGGTTATACAGTTCACATGTATGAAGCCAAAAGCTTCAGGACTGAAATGATCAATGCACAGCGCAGCGTTCGGGAAGAATGTGAAGTCTGAAACGTCTGTGGTTTTCTTCCCCGCAGGCAGCCGGCGCGGTGCGTCCATTGGTGTCCACAGTCATCGCTTCCTCCTCCGATGGATGTCTGGCCCATTCCCTGGAACGGGCGAAGCACAGAGCCAGTGAGATGCCGCAGGCTTTCCTGTTCGATGTCATCTATAATGCGTACCTTCAGGTAGGTGGACACGTTCTGGTTATCGTTGTGTCTGATATAGAATGTGGTGGGACAGCCAAAATGTATGAGTTGTCAAAGGAACAGGAAGTGAGAAGAAATCTTCCAATTTTGGACACTTGTTCTTGTCCAAGAGGGGATATCCACCCACTGTGAAAAGACTTCCTATTATTGCCTGGTTTGTCTCTGGGACAGGAAGTGAAGAAGAATCTCCATAAAGGGGTGATAAATCTGATCTCCGGCCTTCCCTTTAGTCTTCTATCTGACCTCTGTCCTTCCCTTCAGTCTCCTATCTGATCTCCGTCTTTCCCTTCGGTTTGCTATCTGACCTCCGTCCTTCCCTTCTATCTTCTATCTGACCTCCGTCCTTCCCTTCTATCTTCTATCTGACCTCCGTCCTTCCCTTTTAGTCTTCTATCTGACCTCCGTCATTCCCTTCAGTCTTCTATCTGACCTCCGTCCTTCCCTTCAGTCCTATATCTGACCTCCTTCCTTCCCTTCAGTCCTATATCTGACCTCCGTCCTTCCCTTCTATCTTCTATCTGACCTCCGTCCTTCCCTTCAGTCCTATATCTGACCTCCGTCCTTCCCTTCATTCTTCTATCTGACCTCCGTCCTTCCCTTCTATCTTCTATCTGACCTCCGTCCTTCCCTTCAGTCCTATATCTGACCTCCGTCCTTCCCTTCATTCTTCTATCTGACCTCCGTCCTTCCCTTCTATCTTCTATCTGACCTCCGTCCTTCCCTTCAGTCCTATATCTGACCTCCGTCCTTCCCTTCATTCTTCTATCTGACCTCCGTCCTTCCCTTCTATCTTCTATCTGACCTCCGTCCTTCCCTTCAGTCTTCAGCCATAGGCTCCTTCTACCGTCAATCAACCTGTTGGGTGGAGAGGAGGGGCGTGGTCTCGCACAGCTACTGTGGGCACGGCCAGGAACGCGCACGCCCCCGGGTGCCTCCACAGCAGCCGCTTAGCCGATGGCGACACCCGTGCAGGGGGGCGGGGGGAGAGCGCTGTGGGGACCCACTAGAGAACGAGGAACTGAAAGAATGTAAGAAAAAAAAAGAACACAGGATCTGCATCCCTCAGAGGTGCTCCTATGCGTACAAACAAAAAAAAAGTAAAGGTTTACTGTAACTTTAAATGGTTTTTAATTCCTGTAAAACAACGTGACATATTCATTTATCTCCGGTGTATAGATGGGGGAGGAGGGGGGGGGGCTTGGTGGCGTTGCCCTTTTTGGGGTGGGATGATGAACCCTCATGTTGTCAGAGTTCAGATTTCAGACCTTTGTC